GCACTAAAACTGTTAATATGCCAAAATTAGGAAAATAAAAATTTGTTTCAAACATTAAGGAAGTTTAAAACAAATTATATTTTACTTTAATGTTATAAGGTTTACCCCCTCTCCTCTAAAATATATATATATATTTGCTTATTTCTCCAAGACCTGGTTATAATCATTTTTGACTTGTAATGAGTCTAATAATTGATACAATTAATGCACTTCTTGCTACCAAAAAAAAATTGATAATCATCAATATTTATTTAACTGTCTAAACTTTTAATACTACTAATAATTTTAATTATTATATTTTATGAATCCCATCTTTTGAATTGAGGCATACATCAAAATTTATGTTTGAAATTAATTATTCTTTGATAAATTGGTTTGGGCATACGTTTCTAAAAATCCATCATTGTCGGTAACAAGCAGTTTCCAAGTTTTAGTTTGATCCAGTACTGCTATAGAGGTCAAAACATCCTTAACTTCTTCTGGTGGTGCATTAAACATTTTCCCAATATTTTTACGATTGACAATCTGGCCAGAATYCAACAAGTAAATCTTAAAAAAATAACGGATAAATGCATAAATTAATATTGTTATAATTTAATATATTTTAATGTATTAAAGGTTAATTTGGGTAGACAAATACAAATTATRTCGTAATATGTAGTTTATGTTGTAAGTTAAAGATTAAAGAACATACTACAAAAAARGTAACATATTTTGTTCATAACTAGACAAAATTGTTGTTCTTATCATACATAATAAAATATTTATGAAGACATTATGTTATATTAGACAAAAAATAGCAGTTTTTAATCTGAAGTTATAAAACATCTATGACTCTACCAAATTAAAATTTACATCTGCGCGTCAGAGAAAATTAACTACTAACATTATATAATTATTTTAAATGATTTTTCAATAAGTGGAAATGAGTATTTTATACAAGTACTTATACATACATTGTGTATGTACAGTTTATATATAAACAGACAAGATAATTATCACTGAAATATATTACATTATAATATTTAATTAGTTTTGTGTATATTGAAAATGATATATTGGAATAATT